GCCCAGGGAGAACTCTCGGGAGCATGAAAAGGCATCCAGACTCGCACTTGGGGCAGATGCCTTTGTGGCGCTGCCCGCCTTCTCGCCGGAAGGCATCACCCTCTCTGACAATAAATTCGGCCTGTGCCTCTGCATGGACATGTGTCCTGACTAAATTCTGTCATCAAGGACCAAGGAGGCGAGGGGCTGGCTCCCTACTTCCTCGAACCCAACTTTGCAGTAATAGGATCCTGATGTATTTTGATTAAGAGAACATTCTGGTGCATCCAGCAGATTTTTTTTTTTTTGGTACTGGGGATCGAACTTGGGTCCTTGTGCTTGCGCAGAAAGTGGCAAAACCACCGAGCTAAATCCCCAGCCCCCCAGCAGCTTTTATTCAATGCTTAAAGGCTAGAATACGTGCATAGCATTCCATTTTTATAACAATTCTTTGAGGTAGGTTGTGTTATGAGTCTTCTTATCAGCAGGGAAAACTGGGGCTCAGGAGCATGGGATTTCAGGTAACTTACCTAAACTTTCCAAGTCTTAGATTATACACTCAAGGTAATGACACCTCCTGAGAAGTTGGGGTGACATTTAGTGAAATATCAGATGAGCAGTGTACAGCAGGCTGGCAGGTGTGATTATTTAGAATGCAGTAATTCCCGATCTGTCCCCCAGAATATCAGTCTGCACACCCCCCATTCTGCTGGCCAGGTCTGGCCTCCTGGGGACGATGGAGGGCATGGCATCCACACCTTGACCTCAGCTCACGTTGCCTCCTAAGACTCCAGCACACCTGAGTTTTAGACTTTAGGGACCTTGTCACTGGAGTGGTGATAGTCCCTGTCATTGGAGTGGTGATGCAACCAAACTGGAAACACTGCCAAGTTTAATAACAACTTGTTCAAAGGGAATAATTCTGGGGTGATTTCCTCACAAGCAGAGCACAGTAATATGATTTCAGGTGCAAGTTGTCCTTCGATTAAGGATGATCCCATGTAATGAACAGTTGTCCTGAGGTCTCTTACTAGGTGAGGCGTTGCTTTCTTCCCTCCGAGATGTATCCTTCACACCGTCCACAGTGGCAATTGACCGGCACTTCCTGCTCACACCAGGGTGCCCTCCCCAGGTGTGGATTCTGACTCAACAAAATGCTCCCCCTTTTAACAGGCATGGAGCTTGGGAACATGGCTAGGCCCTGCAGTTCTGGAGCCTGCGCCTCCAAAGGAAGACAGTGGCGAAGCCCAAGAGTGTGGCCAGAGCTCAGAAGACTTTCCTCCTCTGACATGTGCCAGGGTTTGTGAGTCCGGGTCCAGGCCTTGTGGGTCTGAACCACACAGATCTATGAGTACTGAGAACAAAATTGTGCACTGGGTCTGGCCATTGTCATTTCCATGAAATTTCTGGACCTCAGATGCTGGCGGGAGAGGAACTGGAACTTGAATGTCTGTTGGTTGGGGACCTGGTCACAGGCTGAGGTCCTCTCCTCCTTGGCGGCTCTGTGTAAACCTTGGGCAACAGCACCAGACCTTCAGCAGCAGGATTCCAGAACAGCGAGACCAGTGTGGTCCCGGCACCCGGCCCTTGGGGTCAGCCTCAAACATGACACAGCTCAGGGTTACACACAGGGACCTCCCTAATGTCCTTAGGGAAACTCGGGCTGCATGTGTGCCTGACCCATGAAGGTGCCTACCTGTCTGGAAATTGAGTCAGCTTCACATCGACTCTCAGACCAAACATGTTACAGTGATTCACAGGAACACTCCTTTCTCTCCTGGATTTAGAATTCCACCACTGAGTTCCAAAGGCTGACTTTTTTAATTTTTGAGGAACTTCTTTAGTTCTTATTTCAGAATTTTTTAAAAAAAATTAAAAATAAAATCTTTTGTTTCAAATGAGATATGATAACTCCAACATAGGGGGCACGATTGAAAAACACAGTGAACATTTACATTTTAAAAAGTTACAGTAAAAGATGCATTGCCAACAATCCCCCTCCAAATCCTCTTCCTCACTTCAAGCACACTTATCTATCATTCTTGCTGCTTCCCGCAGCAGCTTAGAGTCCTCCTTCCTGAGTGTCTTTAGTTGTACTGTCCTGGCTGCCTCGATGTTGCTGTCATGAATCAATTAAAATGTTTCCCTTTCCTGGTCATTTTGACTTTGGGAAGAGCCAGCAGTCACACAGTGCCAGATCCGCTGAATAAGGTGGACGAGGACACAGCATCAGTTATCACAAGCCTGCCTTTCTATTGGACAGCGCTCAGCAGCAGCAGTCACGGTATTTTTTAAAATCACACCTGGTAAAGACACTCAGGAAAGAGGACTCCAGAGCTGTTGCAGAAATGCCAAGAATGGGAAAAGCCTGTTCCAAGCAAGGGGGAGGATTCTGAGGAAATTCATGGCAATGTGTTTCCCACTATGATACTCTTTTTCTAACTTAAACTTTCCTCTCACTGTGCATCTGAATTTCAGTGGAGAGTTCTGGATGGCTGCATGGCTAGTGACATGAATACATTAACTTTGTACATTAAAATATTTTCAGTGTAAAGGTTCACTTTTCAAATTTTGCTTTCAAAGTAAATATAAACCTCAATTTCTCAGTGCCATGAGCCTCCTGGGGCTCTGGGCCAGCTGGGCACCCTGTGGCCTGGTCCTCGCATGTAGGCAATCACCTGTCACACTGGAAGCCCGGGTGGAAGGGGGGTGACATGAGAGAGCATGGCATTCAGGGGCCAAGCTCACTTACATGTGGATCACTTACAGAGGATGCTGTCTGTGATCTGGGAAGGAGGAAAGAATTAAGTTGTGTCATGGACATGCATTGTATTACTGCAAGAGAGCTAATAAAAATAAATTAGAAGAAAGCACTGAGGGGCTGTGCTCAGGCCCCAGGGGGAAGGTGAGTGAGCCCCCTTCCTGGAGGGACCATATGAGCTGGCGTGGGGGCATCACAGGACGCTGAGCCGTTGGCCCTGTGTGTGCAAGGCACGTGTGGCTGCCGGGAACACACCTCCCCTCTTCTGTCTCACCCCCTGGCTGCAGGCGCAGCGTCGGTGCCTGGGTCCCCCACCGTCAGCAGCTGGAGTGGCCCCTGGAGGGAGAACCGCCCCTCCTGCCACCCACGCATTTATCCTGGTGTCTGTTTATCTGCAGTACCGGGGCTTGAATGCAAGGTGCCGTGTGTGCCAGGCAAGCACACTGCCACCGAGCTGCACCCCGGTGCCCCATTAGGTTTCTAATCAGATCTGCATGGACTCGGGAGACACTTTGTGCTCATCTACTCCCAAGGGGTCCCTTGGGCTGTGGGCTCGGAGGGAAACTGAGGGTCCCCACGGGGAGGGAGCCTTTGCCTGCTTGGCTTCTAGGCCTGTGCCTTTTTGTTTGTTTTGTTTCTTTTTGAGATGGGGTCTTGATATGTGGTTTGGGCTGGCCTTGGACTCAGTGTGATCCTCCTGCCTCTGCCTCCTTAGCGGTTGGATAACAGGGGTGCAGCACCAAGCCTGGCCCTGTCTTTTTTAAAGGAAGCATTTTCTTCATGTCTCCTCCACACAGTGATCCCAGAAGTGCTCCTGAAATCTGGTCTCCCATGCCCCAAGACTTTGTGCTATACTCAAAGAGATGAGAACCCATTTCCCATTAAGGACAAGGAGCTTGAGGAGGAAGCTTTGAGGCTGGCAGCATCACTTTCTTAGAGCCTGGGGGATTATGGGAGGGGCATAAAGCAAAGCTAACTCACTTTGCGGGATTGCTTACCCTGGGGTGCCACTGCGTTCCCGCACCCCCAAACCCCCAAACCCACGCATTAAAGTTCCGGGCTCCAGGACATCAGAATGAGGCCTCCAGAGGGGTGTTGAGCTGTCTCCCCCCGGGTCTTGACTCACAGGGGGCGCTGTGTGATGGCGGAGCAGAGACGGAGAAGTGTCCCTGCTGGTCCAGAAACCCCAGAGCCCGCAGTACCCAAGGGAGCAGGGCGGGGATCTGAGCTGAGGACCTGTCCCTCGGAGGACCCACCCTCAGTGCTCGGCACATTCAGCGGTCGTGCCCACTCCGGCCGTATTCCCCAGGCGAACACAGACACGGAGCATGTTGGCGTGCCCTCTGGGCTTGAGTTTGGACTGAGAGGTGCGGCCTGTAGCTGTGGAGGATGAAGAAGTCAGAGTTTTGATTTAGAAGTGCTCAGCGCGCTCTGCTCTGCCAAACAGTCACACGAGGCTGCCGGACCGGATTGTGCTGGCCACACCTGGGCTCTGATTCCCGTTCTGCCCGAAGCCGGTGGCGGGGCTCACGCAGGCTGCCTTACGGGGAGGGTGGAAAGTCACGGGACGGAGGGGACAGAGCACTGAGACCCCAGGGCCCCGGCCGCTCCCAGTCATCAGACGCGGATCTCAGCTCCTCCGCTCGGATGTCATGGCAGCGATCTGCCCTGGGCTCTAACTTCAGCCCAGCGGACTCCAGTGAACGCTGCTGCCCCCTTTGCACCTTGCGAGCTCCCGGAGGTGGGGTGTGAGTCACACTCCGAAAGACTTCCTGACTTCCTCTCCCCATCTTTATATTTTTAGACTGTTTTGTTAAATTAGACTCGGAACTCGTCCCCTCCTCCCTCTCGTCTAAGGCCTAGGAGAAAGAAAAACAAGTGCGCTTCACTTTTACTGAAAGTACTGCCGGCAGGGCTGCCGAGAAAGCGCTCGGGAGCCCAGGGCACCTCCGTCCTGGTCCGCTGGGCCCCTCTCGCCCACCCCACCTCGCCCAGGAACCGGTTTGCTGATTCTCTGCTTCGCTTTTTTTGAAAGTGAGGGCATGTGTGTTTACGTAGGAATTGCTGTGGAGCGCCTGCATTCGCTCACTGCATCTCGATCATTTTTACTCCCTTCCCCTGGCCTCTCCCGTTTTGCTCTTAGGCCACTCTGCGATTGATTCCCTCTTCCTACAGGAGGAATGGCTGCCAGGACGGTGCGCCGCGGCGTCCACCCGAGGGCGGGTCGCTGCAGGACAACTCTGGGTGGGGGTGAGGGACTTACTGAAGACCAAGCCCCGCCCCGGAAGCGGTGGCACCAACCAGTGGGGCTGCAGCCTGGGTGGAATAAAGAGCGGAAGAAGAAGGAAATCTCACTTCTGCTTCTGCCGAGGAGCTCAGGTCTTCGCCTACACCGCTGGGTTTCTGTCTCCAGCGCTGACTTCCAACACAGACGCGCACGGTCTCTGCAGTGGGCTCCAGGCCTCTGACTTTCAACTGGGTCCTCTGGTTCCCAGTGCACAGACCGCCACTTTGCCTTCTTCCACACGGGACTCTGCGGGTGGCCATGGTAAGCCTGCCTTGTGAATCCGTTATGTGTCATACACATCATATCATATCATCAACACATCACATCTGTTCCTCTAGTGAACCCTCACTGATCTAGCTGGCGAGGCGGCTGAGTAAAAGGCACCTTTCTACATTGTTGGTGGGAACATTAACCAGTACAACCACTATGAAATGAGTATGGAGACCCCTCAAAAAGCCAGAAATTCCACGGACCCAGCTCTATCTCTTCTGGATACCTTCCTGAGAGAGTAACCATCATTACATTATAGCGATGGACCCACACCCATGCTTCTAGCAGCACAACTCACAATAGCTAAATATGTGCCCCTCAGTGGATGAATGGATATAGAAAATTTGTTATTTCACAAATGGAGTACTACTCTGCCATAAAGAAGGATGAATTGGAGTCATTTCTAGGAAAATGCATGGGTCTTAAGAGTTTAATACTAAGTGTAATAGATCAACACAGAAGGTTAAATATCACATGGTCTCACTTCTATGAGAACCCCAAAACATAAACTGCTGGGTTATTTATTTATTTATTTATTTGGTTCCGGGAATCAAACTTGGGTCCTTGCGCTTGCACTGCAGGCGGCAAAACCACTGAGCTAAATCCCTAGGCTGCCAGCTTATTTTTGCAACTTCTAGGCCAGTGTTGCTCCTGGGCTGTTTCCCTGTGTCCCCGAGGATGTCTGCACTGTTCCTGTCCTGTTTGCTGGGATGCCGGCTGAAGGCCTCTCCCATTCTGCCTAGAAGGAAAGCTAAGGAGACAGAAGTTTTAAAGTGAGTGGATTTGGGGAGAGAGATGAGGAGATGGGGGAATCCTGCAGGGTCTCAGACACCCAGAGGGGACTGGGGTGCTGGTGGGGAGCGTGAGCCACACCAGGGAGGGCACAGTGGAAAGAACATGGAATCTAAGAATGTGGATTCTGGGGCTGACCTAGCTGGGTTCAAATCCCACCTCTACTAGGTCCCAGCTCTGTGAGAATTTTAAGCTGCCCAGCCTGTTTCTCAGTCTCTCTGTCAAATAGGAGCTGCAAGTACGTCCACTTAAATCTGAAACGTCCCCCAAAGTCTCATGCGTTCCAAGGTCGGCCTTCGGAAGGTGACTAGATCATGGGGCGCAGTCGCCTTCACTGGATGAGTTCACTGGAGAATTCACGGCCTCATGTGTCAGTAGGAGACAGGGCTCGGCTGGGGTGGGTCCCTAGGAGCTCGACTTGCAAAGCCTTTCTTGTCCCCAGCTCCTCTCTCTCTCTCTGTTTCCTGGCCTCCATCAGGTGAGCAGCTCTCCTCCACCAGGAACTTTCACCTTGGAGCCAGCTGATTTCGGACTAAATCCTCTGAAACCATGAGCTTCTCTTCCTCGAAGTTGAGGGTGCTGACTTTTGTGTCCCAGAGATGGAACCTGACCAATACAGAAAATCGGTACCAGAAATAGGGTTGCTGTTGGGACTTGCCTGATCTTGAGGTACAGAAGCCTTTGAAACTGGTTTGCAAGAGGAATTTGGAAGGCTTTGGAGATACTGGCTAGAGAAACCCTGGCATGCAATAATCAGATCTGGCCAGTGCCGAGGAGACCAGGATGCTTCTAGAATAAAAGGAGTAAGGCTCAGGAGCTTTCAGTTGGGCTCTCCTCTGGGTGAGGCTTCCTGGCACGAGGAGCAAGTAGATCAAGCCACTACGTCGCCCCCCCGCTGGTGCGGCTCTTGTTCTTCTTTTGGATGCTGCAGGTCTGTGAGCCCTGGGGAGATGGATCCCCATTTCCTCCTGCCTATCTGTCACCCTCCGCATTGTGGCGATTGTCCCATTTCTCTCTGAGAAGGTTCTCATTCTCCTGATTAAATCCATCGGGCATTCTGAGGTCTTCCGGTTCTTTCTGTTTCCTCCTGTTGATCATGGTCCTTGTCAGTGATGCTGCTGTCAGCGGAGTTGCCGTCCTGTGTGCCTTTCAGTCACTTGCCAGGAGCGTGCAGGGCTCAGCATGGGGAGGTGGAGCCCATCAGGAGGCAGGGTGCAGGGGCTGGCTGGGCACTGGCCCCCTTATTGTCCTGGATGTCATCGGGGCATATGCACTCTGGGGTCCTTACCCCAGATGTGGGGTGCGGGACCCTTTCTGCCTGGCTCTGGCACCCCTTCCTCGAGGTCCCCGCCATGTCCCAGGGCCCAACATGATGGTGCAAGGCTGGACTCCAGCTTGGCTCGGTGCTTCCTTTCTTTGGACTCTCCCAACATTCTGCGGCTCCCTCCGTGGTCCCCCAGCCCCATCTCTACATCTGGCACTGGCAGCTTGGGTGCTCTGCAGGGCCTCCCTCTGCCTACACCCGTGGGAGGGAGGGGTCCGGGCTCTCTGGCTCCTCGTCCATGGCCAGGTCAGGAGCAAACCCACCTGGGTGGAAGCCTCCCTTGGGTGACACATCCTGAAGCCCTTGACCAGAGACCTCCTGCGTCAGCTCCTCCAGCTGTCCTGCCCAGGACCATGCTGCAGGCCTCCCTTTGTCCTCTCCCAGGCAGGGTGGCCCCAGTCTCTGCTCCCCAAAGGCCACCCCGTGCCAGGACAGGGACCCTGGCCGCGGTCCTCATCACTGCCCTCCTCTGGGGACCTCCCTGCCCCACCACATTTCTTTCTGCACAGCTCGGCTGCTCCTGGGCCGCCTTCCTCACCCGCGTCTGGTGAGAACAGGAGCCGAACCGGATGCCTTCCTTCCCTTCTCGGTCGGTCGTGAGCTGTGTGTCTTCCACCGCGACATTTTAAAATTCAAACATCGCATTTTCAGATCACACCGCACAGAAGAGACATGTTCTCTGTGAGCTGTCGTCTTGCAGTCTCTGGTAGGCAAAGGACCCTTCATTACTTTAGCTTCACACATCGGCTGGGCCCAGAAATGGGCCCCTGCAGGCACCCCTGCCGCCGCCGCCCGTGACAGATGCTCACTGACACTGAGCGCGACGCCAGCCCAGTGAGCGCCTGCTCCCAAGGCCCCTCTGGGAGCAAGGTGCAGGCCCAGACCCCATGCTGGGTTTCCCTTAGGCTGCTGGGTCAGGGCTGTCAGCCTGCTGATTGTATTTGACCGGCAGGTTCTCCTGAGGCCAGCACCCAGGATCAAAGTGTGGCTCTGTGGCCCTGGGCTTCTCTGTTCTGAGCCCAGGGGATGGGGGAGAGTTTCTGCGTGGGCTCCGGAGCTGCTGAGCTGGGAGGCTTGGGGATGGCCCCGTATGGCCTGGGGGCTTCGGAGACTGAGGACCAGGGGGAGGGGGTGGAGTGTCCTTGGTGGTCGGATGACAAAATCGGTGAAGAAGCCACAGTCTGCAATGTGACACCAAGGACAGGGCACGGAGGTGGCCTCCACTCGGAATGGCCCCCAGGTGGCCAGGACCGCTGTGCTGCTCAGTCAGGGAAAGCAGCGCGCCTTCCCCAGGACATACCCTTTGAAGAGTGGCAGGTGCCAGCGGCACACAGTGGAGGAGCCCAGCGATGCCGCCAGATGCCTCACAAAGTGCGGGCGCCCTCCTCAGGCTGAGGGGCACAGGCAGACGTCAGGCGCCCAGAGTCCTCCCTGTTCCCTCCCCCTGACACAGCCGGAAAACATTAATGTTTTATCTTGTAAATGTACTGATTTGCATCTGAAGGAAAAAAGAAAAAACTGCGTTTTGGTTGCGTCCCGGTCCCATCCCAATCACACAAACAGACCCAGGCTTCCAAACTCTGTGTTGCCATCTTGAGACATTGATCTTACAGTCGCAGCAGGGGAAGCTGCTCCGTTCCTTCTAAGTACTCCCTGGAGAAACTCAGATGCGAACTTTAGGGCCAAGAAGCGGCCCAGATTAGCGACACAGTAGCGCTGAGTTACTTCCCATACTGGCGACTGAGTTCCAGTCTCCAGAATGACTGCAAACCCCAGGACTCCGACGGGGTCTCACAGGTAAAGAAATGAAAGGGAAAGCAGGAACTGTACAGGAAGCCCAGCACGGGCGGACGTTTTCTAACTTCCCCTCAGGCACGTGTTTGAAAAATCTACAGTTGTTTCCACTGCTCTTTGGGCCTGGTCCCCCGCGCCCGCCCGACGCCCTGGGGTGCGGGAAGGGTTGCAGCTCTGGAACCAGCGCTGTCATCAGGGCCAGCTTCCCAGGCCTGGGCCCACTCTCCGTTCCTCTGGGCAAGACGCTTCCCTCGCTGGGCCCGTCCTTCCCTTGTCTCCCCTGCCGCCTTCACCTGGCTGCAAACAGATGCTTGAACGCGCTCCGGTTTCAGCCGTGCTTCATCTCTGAGTGGATCAGGCCCATGTGGGGGCACAGCTCTGCAGCTGCTGACTCAGCACAGCGAAGGGGCTGCGGGTGGCACAGCCCGGGGCTGGGACGAGGGGAACTGCAGTGTTGGGTGACCGCGGGTGCTCCCCGGGTTGCTCCGGACCCTTCGCCTGGAGGCCTGCACGTCCCCTGCGCTCTGGAAGGAGACTGGCCAGAGAACAAGCCGTGGGGGCTTTCAGGCGCACCCCGTGAAGTGTAGTAGGAAGATATGGTGATTGTCTAAAGTTTAAAAAGCTTCAGAGACACTGCCACGAATCCCCCTCCAAACCCTCCCGACACTTCAGTCTTACTGCACAGTCCTCTCCATGTCCTGCAGCCGCTCTGGAGCCCTCTCTCCTGAGGGTCTTTAGTTGCGCTGTCCTGGCTGCCTCAATGTCCTGAGTGGATTCAACACAGTTCCCTTTTGTGGTCATTTTGACCTTGGGAAGAGCCGGAAGTCACCCGGTGCCAGATCCGATGACGAAGGTGGACAAGGACACAGTGTCATGTTTTTATGAGCTGCCTTTCTGTTGGGTGGCGCTCGGCAGCATCAGTCACTGTATTTTTGATCACACCTGGTGAAGACACTCAGGGAAGAGGACTCCAGAGCTGCTGCAGGAAGTGGCAGGAACCATGGGATGAGTGTGTTCGAAGCGAGGGTAGGGTTTTGGGGGGACTCATGCAGACGTGTACTTCACTGCAGTAAGGATCTTATGATCTACACACTCACTGTGTTTTGATCACCCTGAGTGCCCCAGCAGCATCGCAGCTCCCAACCCCTGCATGTGTCTGACCTGCCACTGTCTGGGAAGAGGGGCAAAGAGCAACGGGCAGTGTCCTGAGCAGCGCCGGGCCGGTGGGTGCTGTGCACAGTGGCCCCGGTCCTCACTCATGTCTCAGGAGGACGAATTCCTGTTCTCAGCACCACCCCTGCCCCAGTGCCTTCCTAACGCTTCCTCTTGGTTTCCCCTCCCCTGGGGTCCGCACCCCGGGGTTTCGGAGCATCAAGGTGAGGAGAACCCTACCCAGGGTGGGAATCCCACCCCGTCCCCCACTCCCAGTGCCACAGACAGATTCATAGTGGTCCCAGGGTGGCTGAGTCTACATGAGACAGACGGGGACCCAGAGTAACAAGCCAGGGACAGGCCCGTTACTGTGACCACCCGGCACAGTGCTCTGCCTGAAGCGGTCAGTGGGCCAACTATGAAACCGATTTACAGTCAGACGCTTCCCGGGACTTTCCCTAAATCCAGGGGCTGTGTTCGGCTGCGGTCAGTGATCTCTTTCTTTTCAGTGCTGGAGGATGAACCCAGGCCCCTTGCATTGACCTCTACTCCCAGCCCTTTATTGCTTTTATTTTTTAGACAGGGTCTCACTGAGTCGCTAAGTTGCAGTCCTCCTGCCTCAGCCTCCCAGAGTGCTGGGGTTACAGCTGTGCGCCACCATACCCGGCTGTGACGTCATTTTAATACCATTTTGTGGAAGGTATTATTTGTAGTGAGGGTGATAGGGCTTTAAGGAAAAACAGCTGAAAAAATTAAAAAGAACTCCAGCAGTGCTTGAGGCCTTGTGCGGTGAGAGCAGCTTTATGCCACGCAGAGCGCTTGATTCTCGGAGGAAACCTTGGCTGGGAGGGAGCTCTGTGCCTCAGCTGCGAGGCAGCGTCTCGGAAGGGAAAGATGCTACCGACGAGGGACAGACAGCTGGACTGTCAGCACATCGCTGGTCCACTTTGCAAGGCCGCAGGAGATGTCGCCCTCTGCCCAGGCTCCTTTGCCTGCATTTGCCGTGTTCTGACTTGGGATGAATCACTGACTGCGGACCCAGCCTGTCCTACTGTCCTGCCTGGAGGGCAGGAGGAGGAGGGCTTGCTCCCAGCCTTTCCCTCAGCCTGGGACCTGGCCGCTGGGGGCTGGGCTGGCGCTACTGTTCTGTCTGGATGCGATGAGGGCCCCATGTGGCTTCCCTCGCCAGGAGTTTAGCCTCTGCTGTTGGTTTCAGGCCCCAGAGATTTGAAAGAAACCTCAGCACTCATGAAAACCTCCAGGTAAAGGCTATTTTACCTGCAAATCTGTTTCCTTAGAGCCGGGAGAGAAGCCAGCTTCATTTCCGAGGCTACTTTAAGGCCTGTCTCGATCGCCTTTCCTCCTCTTCAGCCCGTAACGAGATCTGCACAGCAGTCTGGGGATTCTCCCGGGTTCTGAGCCCATGGCCTCACACACCAGAGCTGCACTGGAAGGACGGAGTGCCTGCTTTCTGTGCAGCCGCTAGAGTGCATTGTGATGTCCAAGGAGCAGAGCGCTCTGTCCACTTAGAGCCAGTGCTGGAAGGACGGCTCAGGCCGGAAGCACTGCCTGTGTCCTGCTCCGGGAGGCTCAGCGGCTGGGCTTCAGTGCGGCTTTCTCCTCTGACGCCCTTTGTACTCTTTCAGGCCCCCGTGATTCCTTCACTATTGCTTAACCCTCTGGTCATCCAGGGCATGAGCAGAGGCATCGCTGCTTTAAGTGCCTGGAGCTGCGGGAGGCACGGGATTTGGGAATCGCATCCTGGAGTTGAGTGTGAGAGCCTGTTTCCCCAGTGGCAGTGGTC